CGAATAATATCTACCTATGAAGGTTGTTTTGAGGACAGAGATGAGATAATGTATGAAAACTTCCACAATGCTTGGCATAGAGTAAGTACTAAATAAATTGTGGTTTATAGTACAAAAACAATATTATGGTTTAATATTTATATTATTAAATATTATATTAAAATTATTGTGCACATAATATTATGTATGAAAGGAGGGAACACAGCCAGGAATTCCAAGCCTTAAATCTGCACACGCAAAGTTAAAGGGGTATTTTTTTCCCCTACTTTCTTTAAAAATATTTCTTCAGCCTTTAAAAGAAAATTTTCTATCACAACTGGCAAGAATAATTCTTACTATTTTGATGTTTGCCTTGACAGGGGTCTCCTACTTCTCTTAAACTGTGACAGGGGTCTCCTACTACTCTTAAACTGTGATGGTTTTCAGTCTGTATGACGCTAAGCTCTTAGGGCAGTAATTCTTATACTTAGTGCACATCAAACTCAGTTATTTTCAAATTTCACATGCTTGGATTCCTCAATCAGGAGATTTCTGTTTACAGAAAGGTTGTACGATTAATAAAAATAACTGGTGTGTACCTTTTACCCAGATTCACCAATTTAAAACATTTTGCAACATTGCATTAACATTCTCTCTGTATAGAGACAGATGTTTCTGTTTTTCTGAACCATTTGAGACTGTCTTATACATTATGCCTTAATAATTCAGTTTTTTTTCCTAAAGAACAAGAATATACTCTGACAAAACCGCTGTACAGTTATCAGATTCAGAAAAGTTGACATTCATATAAGTATTTTTATCCAATCTACAGCCCGTATGTCTAGTTTTTCAGTTATCCCAATAATGTCCTTTCTAGCACTTTGTTTTTTCACGCTAAGATCCAGTCCACACGCTGCATTTAGATGTCATGTTTTTCAGTGTCCTTTAATCTGGAATGATTCCTTTCTTTATCTTCACAGCATTGGCAATTTTGAAGGAAAAAAATATTATTTATAGACTCTTTGGTTTCTCTGATATTCCTCATGATTAGATAAAGGTTATACATTTTTGGCCGGAATACTGTATAATTGTTATATCCTTCTCAGGGTATCACGTCCAGAGAGGCATATATGTCCTATCCTTCTCAGGGTATCATGTCCAGAGAGGCATGTATGTCCATTTGTCTCTTATTGGTAAATGTTAAGTTTGAACACTTGGTTAAATATTGTCTGATTTCTTAATTTCTTTTTGTAATTAATGAGTAATATATTTGAGACTCTGTAAATCTTCCATTCTTTATCAAATTCCAGATTTAGCACCCACTGATAATTCTTGCCTTAAGAATTAGGTTTTCTATGATGGTAGTTAAATGATTTTTCTAACTCATTCAGAATTTTACTATAAGGAAGAGCTTTCCTTTCTTCATGTAATATTTAGTGATCATCAGTGTAGACTCACTCATGGATTTCTTTTTTTTATGTGATAATTGAAGTATCATTCAATAAGTTTTACTGAAATGCTCATCATTTTCACTCTGAAAATATGGTTTTGTCAAAACAAATGAGCTAACATTTTATTATTAGCTGTGAAGTGCACTTTATATGTAATGTTTAATACAACAGCCCTCTGAGCTATATGTATTACCACTATATTATATGCAAATTATCACCTTAAATATGAGGAAACCAAAGCTTAGACTAGTCAAGTAGATTCCCCAAGGTCCTGTAAGTGCTCATCAGTGAAGTCAGGATTTGAACTCGAGTCTGTTCAACTTCAGAGTCCACAGCACTATGCTCCCTCTGTGACTTGCTTCACAGTTTCTGTAGTGGATCTCCTGTCTTTTTGAGAGTTTTATCACTTTTCTGACAGTTCTGTCCACATTCCACACCACTATTACCCTAAGGAAGACTGGGAGTGGGGTGGAACACGGTCGATACCCTTTCCTTTCTCCGAAGGATAAATATATGATAGTAATCCTTCTCAAGTGATTTATCATACTGTGTTCGTGCTCCGTATCAAGAACTGCTTTAAAGGGAAAAAGACATCCCGCAAGGGTAATTTGAAATAGAAGAATATTTATTTAGCAGTAGAAAAATAGAAAATGCAGTTTTCTTTGTCTGAATCACGTGTAGATGAGCCTCAAACCTCCACCCTCCCCATCAACATTTTTTAATCCTAAGAACCAGCTGTTGGCTTAACCTCTTTTCTACCTGCTGGATGCTCTCCGAATCACTTTATCCAGTGCTCTATTTAAGTGATCCCCATTAAAGTCCAGAGCTTAGGGAAATCACCCTGATTCTGTGTCCCCTAGCAACATCCCTGAGAGTAATAACAGCTGCCTAACCATATGTCACTAGAAAGATGTTGTAGGGAGAGTACATATAAAACTGATATTAAATGCCTTAAATCTCCTTAAATCTAGACTTCAGACATCACAGTCACCACGTTTGATTATTTACCTTTAGTGCTGCAAATGCAAAAGGGAAGAATAAATATAATTATCTAAAGTGACAACAGATATACTGGGTGAGCTTAGCAATCAATTCAATTTCTAGATATTTTCTTGCTAAGATAAACAGAGAAATGGCTATGATAAAAATTTTTAAATGTTTATGAGTCTTTTGTGTCAAAATTAAATTGTACTTATGTTGTAACATGACATAGCATATTTAAACATTAAGGAAACTTATAGCTCCTTACAAATTTTTGTTGATATTCTGCATTTTTTTCTGTGTTAATTTACTGTCTGTAGTTTTGCCTTTTCTAGAATGTCTTATAATTGGAATCACATATTACATAGCATTTTCAGATCAGCTGCTTTCACTTAGTAATATGCATTTAAGTTTCTTCCATATCTTTTCATGGCTTGATAGCTCATTTCTTTCTAGCACTAAACATTCCATTGTCTGGATATACCACAGTAAATTATCCATTCACCTGCTGAAGGACAACTTGATTGCTTATAAGTTTTGGTAATTATGACTAAAGCTGCAGGTTTGTGTGAAGGTTTTTGTGTGGACATGAGTTCCCAACTTATTTGGGTAAATACCAAGGAGCATAAATGCTGGACCATATGGTAAAAGTATGTTTATTTTTGTAAGAAACTGTCAAACTGTCTTCCAAAGTGACTGTACCATTTTGAATTCACATATCCTTGCCAGCATTTGGTGTTGTCACTTTGGGATTTCAATCATTCTAATAGAAAATAAAAATTTAATTATTAATAGCTTAACTGCCACTTCAGGAACTGCTACCATTATGGTAGTATGTGTCGTAGGGAGGAAAAGTTACTACCTTTCGTGGTTTCTTTGCAAAAACAAATTTCCCCACATTTAAAAATTATTAATATGTTCCTTCTCTCTGTATCCTCCCTCCCGCATCTCTTTATAGCTTAAAATTTTGGATTTCCAAGCAGTTCACAGTAAGGACAAAGAGTGAAAAATTATCCTGGACTGTTTTTTCTGTTTTAATCAACAAGTAGCCTGTTACAGTGGCCATTATCCAGCTAACAGACAATAGTTAAATAAATATACATGCCTTTTTAAATACTGGAAAAATAATCGGTGACATTCTTTGAAATTCTACTCAATTTTCAAATTATTCCTAATAATTTTCAGAATTCTGGTCACCAGTGGGCTTGGGGAGGGGTTGCTTTTTTATTTTTTGATTATTACTCCTTATTGTAAGCAGCCAATTAAAACAAAACCATATTTTAAGGTTAGGTCACACTATGAAATTTATTTTAATGATTTTGAACAAAAATCCATTTCGTCCTCCAAATTTTTTTTTTTTTTTTTTTTTTTTTTTGCGGTACGCGGGCTTCTCACTGTTGTGGCCTCTCCCGTTGCGGAGCACAGGCTCCGGACGCGCAGGCTCAGCGGCCATGGCCCACGGGCTCAGCCACTCCGCGGCACGTGGGATCTTCCTGGACCGGGGCACGAACCCATGTCCCCTGCATCGGCAGGCGGACTCCCAACCACTGCGCCACCAGGGAAGCCCCTCCAAATTTTTAAAACACGCACATCCCAGTAGTCAACTTGGGCTTTTAAAACAAGAATATTTTGTTTGTAAAAGAGATCATGAAAATAATTATTTGTGTTAGTTAAAAGCTCTTCCTGATTTCATTTTTCTCAGTGAATTTATTTGCCCAGGAAAAGTTACTTATTTGCAAAGCCAAGTGAAATAGAAAGTCTAGGCCAATAGTCTTCTAAATATTTGTATATGAGGAAGTCTGATATTTGTAAGAGATAAATGTAGAGCTACTTTGGTTGGAGGCCAAGTGGAGAGAGGAGGCTAGAGCACTCCCATCCCTTCTCCTGCCTTTTCCCAGGTACCTCTGAGGAGTCCATAGGGCTCCTGGAGAAGAAGTGGAAAATTAGTCTAAATTATGATTTGTATTTAAAGCAGCAACAGAACCAAATAGTCATTAATGAGCTCTTTATCATGGAGTCCTACGTGTCTACTTTATGAGGTTTCTGACTTCAGGGCCCATGTTACATTTTATTACAGCCTACAACTTAAGAGCAGACTGGCAGGAATTAAACGAAAAGCCTGTTTCACAGCTGTTATGCATCTGGGAATTTGGTTAAAAGGGCCTAGCTTAGCTTAGCCTGGGTTGTGATAAAAAGCAGGGTGTACAGGTCTTTTAAGTGAAGTCCTGTGCTCTGATCAGAGTTGTATTTAATACTGGCCCATAAGTCCACATAATTATAATTTGTAAGAGCCTTTAAGACGTCAGTAACTTTTAAATCTTACCTTGTGGAAAATGATTATGTCACCTGTGGACTTTAAAAGTGGTTAGCAAACTGAGATAAAGGTGATAATCAAACTAAATCGTTCTCCATCCAAGTTTCATACTTACTATGTTCCAACTATTTGTAATTTCCTACTCCATTTAATACGCTTTAATGAGCAATGTTCATTCTGATAAATGAATGCTTCATGTAGACTTGTTGTACCGCAGGGAAAGGTGGATTACTTTTGTAATGTCGCCTTCTTACTCCATTCTGGCTTTCTCCCAGGCTTGCAGATGGGTCAGGGGCTGTGGAGAGTGGCCAGAAACCAGCAGCTACAGCAGGAAGGCTACAGTGAGCAAGGCTACCTCAGCAGAGAGCAGGGCAGGAGGATGGCTGCCAGCAGCATTTCTAACACCAGTCATCGCAAACAAGTCCAAGGGGGCATCGATATATATCATCTTTTGAAGACAAGGAAATCGAAAGAACAGGAAGGATTCATTAATTTGGAAATGTTGCCTCCCGAGCTAAGCTTTACCATCTTGTCCTACCTGAATGCAACTGACCTCTGCTTAGCTTCCTGTGTTTGGCAGGACCTGGCCAATGATGAACTTCTCTGGCAAGGGTAAGTTCAGCCCACCATGTTTGATCCAGATAGCTCTAAGTAGAATCCTGCCTACAGGTTGTGGGCTTTTTGTTTTTTGTGTTTGTTTGCTTGTTTGGGTTTTTTTTGGGGGGGGGGGTGCTGCTTGTTAGCATAAACTTTAACTGGTGAATATTTCATCTGCTTTTTATATTTTCTAACCACTATTTGTTCAATGAATTAGGCAAATATTGGAAAGCAAAGAGATAATCTACTTGCTGAAGTGAAAGTAGACTGTAGAAATTTCAGCAGCTATTTTACCAGGTTAAATTTAAGCTATAAATCTAAGAACTTTTGGTGCAATAGAATCTATGGAACCTAAGTTACTCCTTAATAGATTGTATACATGAGTCATGAAAATGAAAGAATCATTGAATCTTGGGTTTTCTAGCATTCTTTACCAAAGTTTATTTAAGTCTCATTATTTTAAAGTGAAACTTCTGAACAGAGTAAAACATGTCTAAAAACAAGTTTTTTGAGACTTTAAAACCATTTTTCAATGAAAATCTATGGAGAGAATCAATTATCTAAATAGCCAAACTTTAGTAAAAATGTATTACCAACAATGACATTTTTAACTCAGGCTTCCCAATGCTACAGAATTATAGTATTAATTATGTAGTTCATTTCTCAACCTTCAAATAGCTAAAAATCATCAATATCATCTTGTTATTCTTCCCTTGTCTTAATGAAGTTACTGTGCAAGTGAGAGGAAATTCTATTAGTAAAAGTATAGTTATTAATTTTTAATTGTTCAGTGTAAGAGGAAAGAAAAGTACTTTAGGGCTTCCCTAGTGGCGCAGTGGTTGAGAACCTGCCTGCTAATGCAGGGGACACGGGTTCGAGCCCTGGTCTGGGAGGGTCCCACATGCCACGGAGCAACTAGGCCCGTGAGCCACAACTACTGAGCCTGCGCGTCTGGAGCCTGTGCTCTGCAGCAAGAGAGGCCACGATGGTGAGAGGCCCGCGCACCGCGATGAAGAGTGGCCCCTGCTCACCACAACTAGAGAAAGCCCTCGCACAGAAACGAAGACCCAATACAGCAAAAATAAATAAATTAATTAACAAACTCCTACCCCCAACATCTTCTTAAAAAAAAAAAGTACTTTAAAACTGGCTCACTTTTATTTGTAACCTCTTTTCTACACTTTAGTATTCCCATCAAACTTAATTTATGATCCTATATTTGAACTTTGTAGAAGAGTTTATTTCTGTGCTTATATGAACTCAATCAGAATGTGGTTTTCACTTGGGATTTAAATTTGGATTGTTCATTTTGAAAAGAAATGCTTCCTTTAGTGTTTACCACATAATTATGCCTATATATCTGATGCTTGGATTTTTTTTTTCTTAGTGATAAAGGCTAGCTTAGTTTTTTGGTTTTTGTTTTTTTAATTTGGATGTTGAGAGGTTCTGTTGCTTTCATGTAGCTTAGTAATAAAATCAAAAGCTATGGGACTAGATTAAAGAGACTGCTAAAATATTGATAACTTTCTAAACAAGTTACTAAACTCATTGTTACGAAATCAGTGATTTCATTTGGTTGGTAAAAATAATGCAAGGATATAAATTAACTATTAAGAAGATATTCCCATACAAAATTAGATATTTTACCCACTATCCTCAGAAATTTTGATGGTACAGGCTGAGACGGTAACTTTTTTGTTTTCTTGTAAGCTGTGTGTGTGAGAAAAGAAGGAAGTTTGAGCCAAAAATCAATGATGAATATCAGAAAGTGAAACTATGGTTCACTTTCTGGATGAATACATCCAGAATTTCCAGGCATTGTAATAAGATGAAACGTTAGCTTTCAAATAACAACCAGTAGCTAATGCCTCAAACAGAGTTGGAAACAGGTATACCAATGTGTAGAAACAGTGTGTTTTGAGGTATGAACCATTAGTATTTTAAGTATTACAGATTTTGTAAACAATCATATATAGCTGTGATAGTAAAGAACCAGCGTTTTGAAGCAGTATTTTAAAAACTGCTAAACTTAATGTTGCAACTTTTCATTTAAGTATTGAAGTTATAGCATTACAATTTCTCCCTCTACCCAGCAACCTTCCTCCTTCCACCAATTCAGTTATATTTCGCAATAGAGCACATACTTGCTTAATTCTATTTAAACTCTTGGTTAAGCTTGCAAACTCAGGGGCTTCCCTGGTGGTGCAGTGGTTGAGAGTCCGCCTGCCGATGCAGGGGACGCGGGTTCGTGCCCTGGTCCGGGAAGATTCTACATGCCTCGGAGCGGCTGGGCCCGTGAGGCATGGCCGCTGAGCCTGCGCGTCCGGAGCCTGTTTGCAAACTCAGGAGTAAGCTCCTTGGATTCAGATCAAGCTGTGTTTCCCTGGGCAACTTTTTTATGGTGTCTGTTTCTTTATCTGTAGCACCAAATCATGGGATTGTTGTAAAGACTGAGAAAGTTAATACTATTAAAATGCTTTAAATAGTGCCTGGCATCTAGTAAGCACTTGGTAAATGTTGGCTATCATCATCATCATCATTATTTATGTTTAACTTCAGTAGGACTCACAAATATTACTAATCTTTGTAACTCACATTTATTAAGTGCTGTCAGAATTGCTAAATTGAAGACATTTGTCTATCTTACTCTGGTAAACAAATAAAACAAGTATAAAAGTAAACATTTTATACTTTAGAGCTGTAAAATCCAATTTTATGTTATTTCATATCACTATTTTATCATATATATACATATTTAACTTAGAAAAATTCAATATAGTCATGTTTTCTCGTCTGATTTTATCTTACTTACAGGCTGTGTAAATCCACTTGGGGTCACTGTTCCATATACAATAAGAACCCACCTCTAGGATTTTCTTTTAGAAAATTGTACATGCAGCTGGATGAAGGCAGCCTCACCTTTAATGCCAACCCAGTTGAGGTAAGTGAAGAATCTGAATATTTACAACAGTTGCGAACTTTATTGTTATCTTGCTGCAGCTTTCCAACATAATAAACTTGCAAGTAAATTACAAGTCACTGAACATGACTTTTCAATCATTGCAAAGCCCGGTATTTGAAGTTATTGCTCTGTGACTTAGTCATTTCTTTTTACCTTACCATGTCATGTTCTAATCTTGCTACCTGCTTACTTTGTATGGCAGCTTCCATGACATATATGCAGCCCGCCACTGGACTTGGTTGAGATACTACTACATTATAAGTCGAGAGCACAAAATATGTTCATCAAACTTTATCTGCAGCATTTTCTTTGTTTCATCATTTCCATTTACTAACAATGCTATTTTTATCAGAGATAATCACAAAGGACATTTTTCTAGTTTGTGACACATCAAAATGTCTTTAAATAATGCCTTTAACAATCTAATACATGATGGCATAGAAACAACTTATAGATTCTGTTATAAAACTGAATAATTTTGCATTAATTCTTTAATTCTTTTTTCTTAAGACAATAAGCAAACATGAACAGAGAGCAGGGAGAGTGGGAGAAGCAAAAAGAACTGTTTGAAATTAATTAATTAATTAATTATTTCTTAACATAACATATGAGTGATCAAAATGTGAAGACAGTTCTTTCTCTGATTCCCCCTTACCCCTGTTCTTATTTTAATGTATTCTGGAAAGATTCAGAGTTTGAGAAATGTTTAAGTGTCTACTAGACTTACTCTTAGAAATCTAATAGAAATTATGTAACACTCAGAGCTAATACTTATGGGTGGATCATTTTCTATGGAAAAATTTATCTGGCAGTTATTTGAATTTATTTAATTTTCAAAAACCAACATTTTCCATTTGTTGTAGAGGTATTAAGGACTCCCTAGTTACCTTAATATTAATATTCTTTAATTAATATTAATTCATATTAAAGAACTACTGATCTTATAAATATGCACATAATAATAGAAATGACATTTTAAAATTAAATTGACTTTTGCTTATTATATATGACTTCTCTGTTAAATTTTTCTTGTACATGAATAAAAATATAACACTGCTAAAAAGGTTTACTAATACATATACATCATCAGTTAAGTCTTAGCCCAAATACAACAAAGTATATATGTTATAAAGCAAATATGTTATAAGCAACAAATATGTTATATTTGTTCTCTTTCACCAGTTTTTACTTTCAGTGAATAGAAGACTGATACTTTTCATGAAAGTAGAATGATTTATAAGAAGTTGAAGTTCAGATTACACATTTGAAACCAATATAATATGGATGTTACTAATTGAAACAGTTATATGACTAGCATTATAATAGGAAATATTTTGCATCAGTATCTTGAGTTAATTGAATGATGGTTACTAGAGAAGAACTGGGGCAGAGCAGTACGGTGTTTTATTCCAGATACGCAGGAGTCAGGAAAGGCAGCTATTACAGGCCCTGTCTTATGCCCAGTTGATCAAGGCATACTGGCTCCAGTCATGAATTAACACCAATGTTGAGTAAAACTGTCATCTTCAATTCCTATCACTTGCAAATGTTACATTCTAAGGAAAGTGTAACTTGGTAAGTACTGAGTTATAGATTTTCAAAGTCAGACAAGTTGGATGTGACTGCTCATATTGATTATGGTAAGTAGTCATTCCTCGCTAAAGGAGTACTAAGTTTTAAACAAGTTATAAAGCATCCTTATTATGCAAAGATGAAACTGTAGATAGGCCCTTATATACTAGAATATGATATGGGTAGTTTTAAATATCTAAATTGGAAAAGCTAGATGTCAAAATATGTTTCCATCTTTGCAGCTACATATATCAGACTATAGAGTTCTTGTTACACCTCCTCTAGAGTGTTTGGGCAGGGGTGGGGGCAGAGAAAAGAGGCAAAATTAAAGTCCTCTTTTTATCTGGCAAAAAAATATTAAAAATTTTCAGTCAAATATTTACTTAAAGAGGGGATTCAATTTACTAATTAAAATAAGATTTTTAGATCTTCAGATTTTTACTTATCCATCCTACCTACCATTGTTATTGAGAGTTGGCTGTATTTTTTTCTTTACTCCCTGGCCTGATTCAAGGATATACTGGAGCATTCCAGAAGTATTGAATTTACTGTTTTGAAAGGGGCACATACTGCTGCCAGGCGGCATGGAACTGAACCATTCAAAGTGACTTTTGGTTCCAGAATTCTGCTTCTATGCTTTTATGAACATCAGTAACTCAGCAAGCAGCTGTCGCCTAATAACAAAATAGAATTCTCTCTTTACCAGAATATACTTAGGACATAAATAGGCGTGGAAGGACATTGACGTACACTTGTAGGTGCAGGGAAATAAGTATTTTGATAACTATTCCACACTTGCTTTCATTGACTAATAAATAATCAATATCAATTTGGTTGTTTATCCAACCAAAATATAATTGAAAGATTATCCTAGTAGGTGTTTTTATATAGAACTTACCTACAATGAGTCATACTTTAGCCAGGTCTTAGAATGACTCTTGCCATGATATTTTAGTGCTAGCAGTCAGGAAATACTTTATGGAGGTTGATTTTTTTTCCCCCTTCACTGGAACACTGTCATCAGATGTGTTATTTGGGTTCATTTAAGCCTGAGAAGTAAATTATTTTTGATGATACGTTTAAATGTAAGTGGTATTTATTTTAAGTACCTGAGATAAGATGTATATAATTGTTCAGTATTGTAACAAGTCTACTTTTCCATAATTTCTAGTTCTGTACTTAACATTTTGATAGCAAGCATCATTAAAATATTATAAAAATAAGAATACTTACAGCCACAGGGAACGAGATTCTCCAAAGGACATCGTTCATGTCACGGATATGGGTAACCAAACTCCACAGCAGCTGCTGGCAGTGGCTTATGGGGTGGGGGAGAACTTCCGCACAGTTTGTGGTACGATTGTCTAGCACGCTGCTGTTTTATGCATGACGTTGTGATCTCAGCTGTATGTAAAGTCTTGATCTTATGCATGAGCTTGTGTACTTTGTGGCAGGTGACCACATTCTAGTAAAGGAATGTGCTAAAAACCATCTGTTTACATTAGGCTGTATTTCCCCTGCATGTACAAGTTACGTGTGTGATTTTATTCCACAGCAGTATTACAATAAAGTAATTTTACTTATCAACCAGTAAGCTATATTCCCTGTGCTCCATTTAGTATTAAACTTTTTCTTGACATAGTTATTTTTAAAACTAGAGTTTCTGAAATTGGTAGTGAATGTGGTTTAACTTTATATTATAGGTTTATTTTTATTCATATTTCTATAAATATGTTTATAAATTTTAAAAATTATATCCTCATTGGGGTCAGGTAAAAGAAGTCTTTTTTAAAACTATGTAAGCACATTTTTCCTGTGTTCATATAGAAAGACCCACATGCATACAATCGTATGCATTCTATTAGATTGATCTGGAATAGACTCTATTAGAAGAAACATTTTAAATTTGACCTAAGCATATGTTTTAGATGGAAATGTATGCACGAACTATTTTTGAGATATCATCTTCTTTTTGTTGTTGGACCAGCTAAAATATAAACAGGAAATTTGGAGTTCTCCATTATAGAAAAGAACTCAGGTGTTTATACTCAGATTTTACAATATCTCATATATTAAATCTTACTTTTTGCTCCAGTATACTGCAGCAAAATGTTCATTGCCATTACTTCATAGCATAGAAACAATGATGAAAAATAACTTTTGTTCCTGGAGATACAAAACCTTGATATCATCAGAATTTACACATTTCCCAAATGTATTCTTTGTAATAATTATTCCACAGGATAATGGACATAGTCAAAGGATTTCCCAAGTCTAATAAATTTGATCATGATAGGTTGTGATTAGTTGGCTCATTTACAGAATAACCTGTCAAAGCCTCTAATATACTGATGCACATTGTGAATATCTAAGAGGAGGGTATTGTATGCCATATTATGCAGGTTTATTTGACATAGTGTCTTTTTGGCAGGTGGGCGGGGTGGAGGGAGTATAAAGTAACATTCCAGGGAACACATTCTGATATACGCTACTGTAGATTATCTGCAGTCTTTCTATGTGTAAATGAATATGTGTTCTTAAATGAATAGACACCTGGCTTGAATGATTGAAATATCCTGTTGTTCACTGACAGCTACTTGATGTTTATTTTACCTGTAATCTTTTTTATTGGAAGTCTATGGATCTATAATTATTTGTTCTCTTTCCTTTGGTCTGAGAGTATTAATTACAAAAAGATAAAATAAAACAGAGTTGAGTCTTGACAACCAAGAGCTTTATTCATGTTCTGTATTTTGATTGTAGTCTAACATGTTTAAGGAAAACGTTAGTTTGGAAAGTAAGAGTAGGACAACAAACCTGATAACAATATTGTATTCAAGTAACTACATGTAGACATTGATTAAGTATCCGTGTCAAATAACTTGGAACAGATCATTCATCATTATATTCTTGGTATCTCGTTCTCTACACTAACTCTATTAGGTCTCCTGAAACACAGGAGTATTCCCAGGGAAGGTTGACAGACCACTAGATGCTTTTTAGTTTGGCAAACATATAGCCTTTTGAGGTTTTATCCTTAGTTCTACAGGTCTAGAAATTTGACTTTATCTTTCACCGAAATTAGATCAGTCTCTCAGGAATAAACTTAAGCTGTAGATAGTAGAACCTGAGCCAGGTTGACAATAAAATGGGTATACTTTGAACAGTGCCTCATAGCATGAAGAAAGAGAGAATGCCTAAGTTCTTAGCTAATATTATAAACTAAAATATATCTAGGACCTAAATGTAAGGCCAGACATTGTAAAACTCTTAGAGGAAAACATAGGCAGCACACTCTATGACATAAATCACAGCAAGATCCTTTTTGACCCACCTCCTAGAGAAGTGGAAATAAAAACAAAAATAAACAAATGGGACCTAATGAAACTTAAAAGCTTTTGCACAGC